ATACTGTACGAACTTTCGTACAAAGAAAATAAGGAAAATATTCCGCCAAAATTTTGCATGTTTCGCCTTATTTTCAACACACAAAAAAAATGAAAAATAATTTGAATAGCAATGAAAATTATGGGCATCATAAAGATAGAAATTAATTCAATATTTAAGGGATTTACAGAATAAAATCAATATTTATTTCTACTCTTTTTTTCTAATTCAACTGCCCGTCTAAAATTATCACCTCATCCTAGTTGACCAAAATTACAAATTTTCAATTCTTTTATTAAATTTCAGAAATTTCAGACATGAGATCCCTAATTCTACGCTGTGTATACACAGCTGAAAACACCCAGAAAGTGCTGTTTCTGGCCATCTGGGGGCTTTTAGATACCAAAAATTTTCTGGTACGCTATGCGCCAACCGATGGTGGCGCTCCGCTTAGATAGTCCTGCCGGCACTAAAATCATCCTGGGCAGAACCCTGAAAACCCCAAAAAACAAGCCCTGACAATGCATGTCACGCTGTAAACATGAACAGATCAAGTGATATAAAAAAAATTGGTCAAGTGAAGATGCAACGTTTACAAGGGCTATTACTTGCTTATCAAGAGAACTTAAAAACAAATTAGAAAAAATAATAATTTTATGAGCAAAACTATGCACCAATTCAAATACAGGTAATAAAAAGAAAATACACTCTACATGTAAATCCTGCCAGTGCAAAACAAGTTGATTTCATTTTACATACACAAGTGTAGACCTAAATGTACACTGTACATGTATTATGACTCCATAACCCAGGAACTTTCGTCAGCTCAAAAATTTGGATAACTTCATTCGCTCAAGATTGCGTTGGAGAGACATTAATTTCTAACTCTGTTTTTGCCCTCTTTCCATGATAGTTACAATTTCACAGTGTCCATCAATGAGTGTCCAGTGAAAGGTGAGTGAATTAATCTACAATGTTGTGTACATGTATATGAATTAACCGCCTGATATTCGAGGTTCCCTCATGCTTATTCTCAGTGGTATTCAACCACACCAAATACGAATCAAGACCCCAAAGGTCAATAAACCACAAAGAAGTGCAAGACATACATGTACGTTAGGGATATGGACTTTTTCACAATACTCTAAGTCTAATGGCATTATTATAATCAGTTTGCTATACAGTTTACTTTACATGTACGTTCCTAAACAAACTGCCACCATATTTGTCCACACCCATTCACCAAGTCCCCAGATTTTCAAATTACAAGGCTCTACACAGTCTTAATAGCGCGTACATGTTCATGTAGGATAAATATACGAAGGAACTATGATCGTCAAAGTTTCACGTTAACATGGTTAACGTGAAAAAATTAGACTTCACTTACCCATGGTAACAAACAAGGCCAAGGCAAGAACAATAATTTCCAGCTTTAAAGCAAATCCAATCATCGCTACAAAGTTCGATTCAAAAACGGAATTGTACTAAAGTTAAATCAAAGGCAGAGCAAAATGAACAGATTACACTAAGGCCCACAACTTGAACAAGGCAGACAGAAGGCCTTCCAACATTAGCACGAGTTACTCAGAACTCTTCCGGAATCACAAATTACAATTAGTATGTTGTACGGTTTGTTGGTGTGTTTACGGCACATGTAGCGCATGCGTTAGTCTGGATACCAGACCCGATGATTCT